ATGTAGCATTTATTAGCATTTCACAAAGCCAAGTAACTTAACAGACTAAGAGCTTTGTGCTATAAATAATATAACATTGATATTGCAGATTTTTATTCCCAAAACAATCTAATCATTTGATCGTCCGTCTCAGTGTTGTGCCACTCTGGCACTGCAAACAGCTGTTGGGTGGAACTTGCAATGTTGAGCAAAGCAACATTAGCCTGTCAGCTGCCAAAACACTACCGCGCACCTCCAAGAAAGAATTATTAAACTTCCTAATCAAGGTGTTTACTGTAATTAGCAGCTTTTAAGTCGGGTTACCCACCTGAAAGGGTTTGTAATGCAGACCAATGGATCTTTACGCGTCCACCGCCCCTCCGTCTCATGCTAGGCTAACTGAGCTAGCAGCGGGATCATGACAGCTCTCTGACAATGAACTGACATGCTAATCATGTTTATCTGCTTCCTACAACACAACACATTATAATTACAAACGCTGTTAAGCTGATAAACCAGATTTCATTCTGATTTTGGATTTAAGTAATGGGCTTTCCTCTTGTAATACTTCTGTTTCAAGTGTGAAGGCAGAAATACTAACTTTTTAGAAATTGATGTTATGTGAGTTTTTCATAATAAAAGCCCCATGTGCAGCGCACAGACAACTAAAAATAATATATATATTTTGTAGTTTGTTTGTTTGCTTTAAAACTGAAGGGCACAAAGTTTTAATGAGTCGTCCCATCTTTTTAGACGAAAACTCAGCAATTCTCAGTCTTATTTGAACTATTATAAAATACAGTATGTAAATGAGCAGTTTTACCACAGGTCACCTTACACCAATGGTTCTCAACCTTTTTGGCTCAAAGTCCCCCGTTTCGGTTAATTTGATTCCTTTGGTATTTCTGCTGTAATTATGACAATGCAGCTTGTTTTCTTTTTTTATTAACAGAACAGTGTTGATATATAAAATTAATTTAACATGATTTATTTCATAATTATATAAGATTCAAGACTGTTTTTCAATAAAATTAATAGTTGAGGAGGAAAAGAAATATGATTTTAATTTTGTTTTTACATTTTTTAAAGTAATTTTAAGTCATTCTGTTGGATATTTGCTGAAGACAACTGGTAGAGAACCACTGCCCTACACTCGGTAAACATTTAGATTGGACTTGGTATCATGGATGAATAATACCCCAAAATATTGTCAGGAGTTTATTGAAGCATTACAATACTGATCTCTGCTGGTCAGTGGATGAAAGCTTTCTGTCTTTCTTTTTATGCATTTTTGTATGCACCATCCATGCTAATAATATGAGGCTAGCAATAATTACAATTCATTTTGAACAGCACCAAAGGCAGGACATTTTTATTTTAATAGCCACTGAATATTTGTAACATTATCCTCTTTTATTTATCAAATCTATTTACACTTTCAAGATAATAACAACAGAATCATGAGGATTTACTTACACAAAAATACATATTTTTTACCATGTCCAAAAGTAGAGAGATGCAGTTTTTTGGGGGTTCTTGATGTTATTTTCGTAAAATAAAACTGAATTTTTATCATCATTAATGAGCCACTGAAATGTATAGTAACAAAAATCTGGTTGACTGAACATCCTGGATCTTTTCAAGCAGTTTCAATGAAGGCAGACAGTGTTTATGCTGAAGCCTTCTGCTTGTTGTGTTTGGCAAACCACTCGTCACTCTTATCTGCAGCCATGGCCTGTGAAAGAAACCAAACAGAAAACACATGAATGCGCTTTGAAAGTGGATCACAGGATTTACTTTATACTATATAATGTGGTGAGACTGATTACCTCATCCAGTAATTCATTCCCCTTTGGGTCCATGGCAGAAAGCTGCCTGAATGCTTCATCACCCACGAAGCAGATCTCATGACCATCCTACATTAAGTGGAGATCCGAGTCAGCCAAGAGAGCATCTGGCAATACTCAATTTTAGTAACATTAAACAATAAAGACTCACAGGATCTGCAAGAATGACGACTTCCACCGTGGCTTTTCCAGGTGTGTCCAGACTTACAAGAGGGGTGAGGATTTTCTGCTTTTCTTTTTTCATTAGCGCTTCAATGTCTGGTAACTGCAAAACAAAGACATTTCTTTAAAAGTGCACCAAGTAGAATGGATGTTGTTGCCTGATGTTGAATTAGCTGACCTGATCCCGAGGGCAAGCGAATGCGATCCTTCCAAAAGCAGTTCCATGATCCACAGCGCCTCCAATGTCCTGTAACTCCAGCTTACACTACAAAAGCACACCACTTAATAACAAACAATAGTACTGTGAAATATTAAAGCTATTTAAAACAACCATGTTCTATTTGAATATATTTTAAAATGTAATTTATTCCTGTGATGCAAAGCTGAATTTTCAACAGCCATTACCAATGTTGAAAACCACTTAATAATTGGGTTTGATTCTTTGAAGAATAGAAGATTCAACAGAGCAGCATTTATTTGAAATAGAAATATTTTTTAACAATATGAAAGTAAAGTCTTTCCTGCCACTTTTGATCAATTTGATATAAAATAAAAGTGATTTTCTTACAGAAAAAAATTTAAAAACCTTACCAATCCCAAACTTTCGAATAGTAATGCATATATACACTTGTATAAATTAATTTAATTCCAAAAAGGGCCTGATATACATTATATAAAAAGAAGATAACCAAACTAATTCATGAGGTCTTGCTTGTCCTAGCATGTCCTCATAATTTAATTATTGCCAAAAATATAATAAATTGATTATTTTCAGCCAAACCTGATTATCTGAGAATCCCATTAAGGCAATCTTTTTGTCCTCATTTTTCTCAATAACCTTCATTCCCAGCAGAGCAGACCAATAATGAATAGAACACTGTAGATCAGACACTGCCAGGGAGACTTTCTGGACAGGATCTATTACCAGGACCAGAAACAATCAGTTAGGAGTCAGTAAACAACGGCACACTTAACTAATACAGTTACCACATATATTTACTTCCATATTTCATAAAGGAAGTTCTCACATCCCTATTATAACACACATTTAGTATAAATACCCACCACAGTCTGGCTGTTCCTTGTCTATAAGGTAGAAGCAGTATCCTCCTGGAGCTTCAGTCAAGTAGAGAGAATCTTCAACTTGTGTTAGAGGCCAGTTTAACCTCTTAGCATTACTCACAGCCTGACTAGACTGCAGAGTGAGACCCTAATATTGAAGAGCACAGGAAATCACAGCTTCCTTTAGGTAGGATCCCTTTTAACAGAAAATATACAGTGGGGGCCAAAAGTCTAAAACTGCTTGTGAAAATGGTTCACATGATCAGTGTCAAAAATGTATTTACATTTCATTAGTGGCCTAGAAATAGTGTAGAATCGGACATTTTACATCATAACTTCGTCATATTTGTTCCAAAATCATTATTATATGCATAACATGTATACATTTTATATAACATATTATAATAAATACGGTCTCATATGTTCAGATCCTACTTTAAGTGTGGTTTCAAGTTCGAAATGTTTTATATAAATCTAATTTACCAGAAAGTCATTGCCAATGCGATATTCACCCACTCCATAATTATAGGTCAACTCTGCAACAAAGTGGTCATCTTCTGGCCCAAAGCCCACCATGGTTTTACTCCATTTTCCATCATATGGACTGAAAACAAAAGAACAAGTTATATAGGTAAGCTAATATTTAGAATTTGATACAGGTTATACATGTAACTGAAAGCAAAGCTAGTCAAATAAAAAAATAAAACCATTAAAATATGACGAACCCATTGCAGGTTGCTTTGCAGCCCTCCTCAAATTCTTCATGACGCAGAATCTGTAGATTAGAGATATTTGTTATTGTTTATAAATGTAGGTTTTGAGTCGGAACATAAACAGACGGAAAATATGCGACGTGCCACCCCATTTGGTAACAGCATCATTAACTGGCTTATCAACAATATTAGGAGGCAAAGTTCCCACTGTATTTACATAATGCGAGCTAGAATTTTACAATAAGGTCAACATGCAGCTCTTTTACCTTCATTCCTAAGACATCCCTGTAAAACGTAGCTGTTTTGGTCCTGTCTCCTACTTTAAAAACAAAATGCAGTGCTCTTCTTAGTGCCATCACTTTTGAAAGTCTCCCACTGTGTTGATCACACACTCTGTGTTAATACCATAGATTGTATAAAAACAGGTTAATACACACACACACCTTGCGATCGACTCGGATCGACTGCTCTGCTATCGACAGCCCACAGACTAAACCAAAAAAAAAAAAAAAAGTTTAATTTCTACATGCATTTGCAATGCCATTATATAAGAGGGCATATTATGTCATTATGTTTAATTTACTGTAATGCTAAATAACATGTTACAACATGTTAAATTGAATATTAATAACACATTTCTTGGTAAATTCTTACATGGTACACTCCGTTCTAGTGCTGGGGCACTGAGTCAACCACGCGAATCGGTTCCTTTGAACAGTTCGTTCCAAAGAATTGATTCAAATAAAGGTTTTTAAAGGGTTAGTTCACCCAAAAATGAAAATTAGCCCATTAATTACTCACCCTCAAGGCATCCTAGGTGTATATGACTTTCTTCTTTCAGACGAATCCAATGGGGTATATTCAAAATGTAATAATCACTTTAATCTAGCTTGCGCCAACAGTTTTACACGGAAGCAGTTCTGGGAGCATGACGTATGAGGTTACAACTGTTGGCGCAAGCTAGATTAAAGTGATTATTACGTTTTTGAATATAGATATTTTTCTTACAAAAACAAGGGTGAGTAATTCAAGGGCTAATTTTCATTTTTGGGTGAACTAACCCCAAAATGTTTTCAGATTAAGTAATATTGCTATTTCATCTGTCCCGGTCAATGTGTTGTTGCCATTATTCAGCTAAAAAATATATTTAATTTGTTTCGTATTTGTGTTGGTAAAATTGTCATACAAGTTTTAAACCTTTTTTTTCCCAGTACATTATATTAAGATTCCTGCTATTCGTTCATTATTGAAGTATAGAACTGTTCACTCTAATGATGCCGTACGGTTCACCGGGCTCATCACGAATCAGACATTTTGATCAAGTGAGAGAATTAAAGTAGGCTACATTATGTCCACTTTGATTTGTTTATGATTCACTATATAGTAAGCAATATACATATTTTAAATCAATGTCGTTTGTGTGTACTTAGTAGCCTATATAACAATTAACTTCTAGTTGATGAGACCCCGACTTCTTACGACACCGGTGAAGTGAAGCAATCAAAAAGATCCGACTCAAAAGAATGATTTACGA